TGGTAGAAAATGTTGTGGAACGTTATATTTTTTCTTAATATATTGTGGAATTTAATATTATCATAAAATATCTTCCGAAAAAAAATCTCGTGGAACCTATTTCCCACAGAAAATTTTGTGGAACGTATAACTTTTTATACACAAATTTAATTAAAAATAATTTCTATAGAAATTTTTGTGGAACGTCATAGAACATAATATGTTCTACAAAAAAATGCTGCGAAAGAATGTATTTCGAATGTGGAACACAATATTTTCTATAGAAAAATTTTCTATGAAAAATGTTGTGGAACATAATTTTTTCTATAGAAAATCGTTTGGAACAAAATATTTTCTAACGAAAATCTTGTGGAACATAAAATTTTCTATAAAAATAATGTGGAACATAATATTTACTAATGAAAATCTTGTGGAACATAATATTTTGTTGGGGACATTTTGTAAAACAAAAAATGCCTTATAAAAAATATGTGATTCTCAATGTTTCTATAGAAAACCCAGCGGAAAGCATATATATATTTTATATATTTATTTAAAAATCCACGCCTTATAGGTCCTTGACCAAACTATTTATTTAAAAATCTATGGCTTATAGGTCCCTGGAAAAAATTATTTCTCCTGTGGATCCCATTCTGAACAAAGAAATTTCTTTTTTTTAATTTTCGAATAATGTCGATTAATTTAATTTCCCCCACTGTGCTGAGTGACAAAGATCCATCAAACCATAGACAAACTGGCTGGCATTCGCCAATGGACTTTTTGTTTTTATTATTATTTATTTTTTGGTCCAGTTTTGTTTATTTAAAAAACATTTCGCACAAACACATTAAATTTTTGGCTTAAGAAAAATAAATAGCCGGGATATGTTTTTTATCATCATTTGTGGCGGTCAATTAAATGTGTGTGTTTTTTGGTGAAAATGAAACCACTGATCATGAGATTGATATTTGTTTACAGAACGCAATGAAATATTTATAGAACAAAAACACACAAATAAAAAATATTTTGTATTTGAAATGGTATATTTGTGCATACAGTTGCAACGGTGCAAATACACAATGGATTTAAAAAAAATTAAGATTTGCTGGAATTTCCAAGACCCTGTAAATGTTTCCATTGTTAGTTTTTTTAAATAGAAAAATAAACTGGTTTGAAAAAAATAATTTTTATGTGGCATATTGACACTGCCATAAAACATATATTTTATTACACAAAAATACTCCAAACGAACGACCATTCCACCGTCCACATCATCCACACATCAACACTAACAAGACAATAAAAATCCACGGACTTAAACTCTGCTCTCGCTCTCGGGGTTAAAGCCATGCATGGATTATGTTCTTAGAGAGTAAATTAAATTTGGCGACAATAAAAAATATCCTTGCTTGCCAAACCGAATGGACTTCGTCGTACTCAAAGTGCTGAGTGTGTTATTATTTAAAAGTGGCTCCCGGATCATGGTAGTATAAATAATTCAATTTACATCACTTGTCCTGATAGGGATTTAGATGGGGGATCAATGTATTGTCATTATTGAGATTTCGTTGTCATGATATACACATACAGACACATAAAAACGAATGAACACATTTAAATTTTTTGGGTGTGTTGAGTGAAATGTGCCAATGGCCAGCACATAAAATGGGAAGGATTATTCTTTTGTTAGGGTGGGAGGATATATAACGTAACAGAATCCTGACATTAATGACAGAAATAATATTGAATACTGAGTGAAGGGTTATATATTTTGATTCCCTTTAATATCCAGGAAATTGAATTTTAAGTAGACGTATAATTTCTGAGCCGATTGAATATTTTGTTTCGTTCAGGACAATAAAATTCAGACAGAAGTCGTTGTAGAGATTATCGAGCAGGGAAAAATATGTATTTAAAAACGCCTTATAGGTCCTTGGGAAAATATTTATATAAAAATCCACGCCTTACAGATCTCCTTTGGAAATATATATATATATATATATATAATAATTCACGCCTCAATGCTCCTTGGAAAAAAAATATTTAGAAATCCACATATCCTTTCAGAAAATATTTATTTAAAAATAGAAACTCTATCTTAAAAATCTCGAGCTCTCAATTCAACAGACGGATTTCAATAGACGGATAAAAGTTTAATTTGATCAAGATTATATTTTATGCGGCGTCCGGTGAATATTTCGAGGTTAATTTAATTAATTTTATTCTGCAATTAATTTCGAAAAGTCTTCATTCATCGTCCATGTGACGTATGAGTAATGTATTTTCAATTGCTGTATTACAATTAACACTCATACGTCCCATATCACTCCCTCCTCCGAATGGAATGTGATGACACGGAAAATATAAAAAATACTTCACCAGGAATGTCTCGAAGCGTGTTAAGTAAGCTGTTTCATTATGCAAATCCAAAGAACGAAAACGAAAAAAAATGTTGGCCTTAATACCACCATTGTCAGACCATGAGTGGTAGATTTGAAGCAACGATAAATAACTCAACGACAGCAGAACAACTTCATCGTTGGCAAACAAAAAACTCAGCCTGAAGATTTAAATACAAGGACTTCATTACAACGAAGAAGAGAAGTGGAAAATCAACAAAAAAACCCTGAAACACTTTCGGTCAAGTCGGCACAAGTGGTTGGTGCCAGGCGTTAATATTTTGAAGAGCTGTTAAAACAGCACAACAACATCACCAACAACAAAGAACACAAATGTGTACTTGTAGCCATGAGTGCACGTGTTTGGTAGTTTAAACAATGTAACCATAAAAAATATTAACTAAAATGAGAAGTTCCAACAAAAAATAAAAAATATATGACAACGGTGATTATGATGTCGGAGACTACTTATTTTTTGGGTGTAATTTTGTATGTCAATAATAAGGTGCTTGGTGGAGTGAAGCTCTGGGCCTCCTCTTTGCCAGGTGTCACAAATTGTTCAAAATCAAGCCGTCACTGTATGGCCCCAGGGCAAATACCAGCTGCTGTCAAAGCTGAAAGCCAACTTAGACATGAAAAAGTACCCATCTTAAATTGAATGACAAGCAATAAAAGTTATGAAAATTTATTTTGATATGAAAATATGTTGCCAAAAATAGGATTTCTTTGAAAGATAAATTGAAATTTAATTTTTTTATGATTCGGCAAGAGGAAGTTGGTAATGAACTAAATAAACACAGAAATTAGTTTTAATGGAAATATTATAAAGGAAGTTGAAAGTGGTTTACTTTCACGTTTTTAAGAAAAATTATTGTGTAAAGACCCCATCCACCTTATTTGACCAGTATATAATCAACTTCAGTTACCTACTTTGAGAGTGGTAGCCATTTATAGTACCGGAATTTTAAGACAACAGTCCGTAGCCTGACAACAAACAAATAAAATCCTGCAAGGGGTCACTGGAACTCGGTTCTTTTCGTGCAAAGATGTTGTAGGCATCTGGAAAACATTGTTAAATTTTTCAATATGTCAAAATATATAATGGAGAAGATTTTGTGCCATTAATATTTCCCAACAATTTTTTTAAAATGTTTCGCATCAAAATCCCAAAGTCCTCATTTACAGTATCATTTGTTCATACATATTCTAATTCCTTATATGAAATTATTAAACATTTGTATGATGGTGCGAATGAGTTTTGTCACCACTCATAGGCCTATAAGGAATGCAATTTTGAAATCACATTGCAACATACTGAGAAGTGGTGACAAGATGGGCTCCAAAATTGAACTACATTAATATATTTTTAAATTTTTCGTAGGTGCGTATTAGTATTGTCACACGCATAACCTATAACCTCCACCATAAGGTGGATTGTATATTAAATTTGTTATTAATTTTAAACGTATACAAAGGTGCGTATGAGTATTGCCAAAACGTATACGCCAATATGGATAAATTTCTCACTGAGGTAAACATGTTGGTATAGCTCCCTATTATTGAGGATTTAGTTTTTATTTCGCAATTCAAAGCGGAACATTTTCTTAACGATTTACCCAAGTCATGCTGGTAGACTGTAAATGAAGACTTTTGGCTATAGACATCATCTAGAAGGCCTTCTAAGTAAAGAAAGTCTCTAGAAGTTTTTAAATTAAAAATACATCTAGAACGCGCTTTATTTAAAAGGTCAGTAGAATTTCGTTTAGATATAGAGAACATCTTAGTATAAATAATACCTCTAGAAGGCCTTCTTATTATTTAAGGCCCCCAGAAGGAATAAGACTTTTACAATGCATTCTAAATAAGGAGAATCTTTTTAAGACTTTGCTTCATTAAAAGATCTCTTTATATCGTATTTTAAATTTATAAGTATGCAAAATATAATATAGTTCAATAATAGAGGTAATTTCGTAATTTTGTCAAGGGTGCGTATAAGTGATGTCACAACGTATACGTACATCGAATTTTGAATTAAAAAATAAAAATCTTGATTTTTAGACCTCATATTCATAAAGATAATGCGGGAATATTTTAATGTTTATCTTTTGAATTGAGTACATCTTACAAAGCAACCAGCAACTGAACCTAGACACGACAATGGTTGATGGTGAGGATGCTGCTGGCAAACCAGTGACATACATTTGTGTAAGTCCACAATTTCCCGAAGATATTATCGTTATATAGACCTCTATGTTGAGGGCTATAGTTTTTATCTACTTTGGTAAAAAAAAAAACATTGTATAATTTAATAACATAGAACATTTCATAATTTGTTCAAGGTTGCGTATAAGTGATGTCACAGCGTATACGCTGTGAGGAAAATATTTTAAAGTTTTTTTTCTTTTGAATTTAATTAATTGATTTTTAATGGTGAAGTTCAAAGTTTGTTTGTTTGGTTAAAAACACACACACTAACACAAAATTTATCCTCACAATAACCAAAATCCTCCACCTTTCCTTTTTCAAAATAACAATGCCCCAACCACTATCAATTTTTAAAAGAAAAGTAAAAAACGCGTACGTAGTTGAAAAGCCCTGAGTGGTAAAGTGAATTAATTTAAGTTACAGGGTTATGCAGGATGTGGCTGGCAACAGTGAGGCCATCATACTGGATCGTCTGACGCCCGGGACACAATATTCGATTGTTGTATCAGCTGTCTGGCTGGGCAAGAAATATCGCAGCCGTCAAGTTATATTTAGAACATTAGGCAAGTATTATTTCCAAAAGGCAGAAAGAGACAATTGAACAAAAACACAGAAAACACAACAAAAAATGTTTAACCAGACAAACAATAATATTAAATGGTTTGTTGTTTTTTGGTATGGAACACCAAAAACAACAGGACTCATGTTGTTGTGGTCATTAATATAATGAATCCTTTTGAATAATAAATTGTGTTACTCGCATACACTAAGGCTTATGTATGCGAACAGAGCCAGCGGAATATGGTTATATGTATGTAGGTCAGTAATATGAACACGCACACACAGGTTCTCATTTGTGTGTGCGCTTGTATTGCCATTGGCCACTGGCTCTATTGGTGTATGCGTATAAGCCTATTTTGATGAATAATTTTTTAACCTTTTAATACCCTGCCATATGTTTAGATTTACCACCCAAACCCTATGCCCAGCAAGACAGCGGTGGTGGCGATATCGGTTCAGGGGGTATTGTCGGTTCATCAAACTCAATAGGTGGCAGCAGTGTTAATCGTGGCAGCAGTAATGGCAATGGCAGCGGTAGTGCCTACAACGAGGATGGGGTCACATCGACTGCCACGAATTCATTATCACATGGCACACACAGGGAATTGCCAACGGTAAGTAAGAAATGATAATTGCAGGATACTTCTACCCCACCCATACCTTTCTTTTTTCAAAATGTCCAAGTTATGATTGAAACTACTAAGGAGCAAAATAATTCCTCCCCATAGTACCATAATCTTCTGGCCATGTTTTGCAATTTTTTAAATTTCTTTTTGTTTTTTTTTTATTCCTTTGGTCTGTTTTCTCATCTTCGCTTTCCCTTTAGATACGAGGTGTTGAAATTGGCATTGTCCTCATCGTATTGATGGTGTGGGCCGGAGCGATAGCCTTATTCTTTAATCGTTGGGGCAAAATACGTATGCTCCTACCCTATCAGCCGGACTACAAACATGAACAGCTCAAGGTTCCGGGAACTGGTGTCTGCAGTGGAGGTGTTTGCAATGGCCAACATTCACATCAGGTACAACAAAGCAAAATACTATAGAATACAAACATCACACACACAAATATACACAGACACATTCATTCATACATAGTATATAGAAATTCATCATCCACGAAGCAGAAGAAAATGAAGACATGTTGATAAGATTGTATCTGAAGCATTCCTCAGCAATCCATTCATCCAATCATCTATCGAACCCAGTAAATCAAACAACAATGTTGTATTTGGAGTGCTTGATCTGTGGCATTATGATGGAAACACTTAGGTTCCGACTTCGGAAAAAAAATTTCCTTGTCATAGTAAAGAAAAAAATGTGTAAGTCACATCACCATCCATCCAACCATTCACATTCAAACATTCAACCATCCATCTCATCATGGAGATCCCAGAAGCCTTTACAAAACAGTTGTACAAACATAACTCTCCTGGTTTTCCGTTTGTTACGCCTTGCCGATTTCTTGGTTGATTTTTTTTCGTTTGCCTTTGCCTTTGGATGAATTAGTTTGGAAAGTTTGAACAATCAGCAAAAATAATTGAAATTCCTTAAGGGTGATCCAGGCAGCACAGCCAGCCATCAGCAACAACAGGAATCACAACGATTTGTTTTGTGTTCTACGCACATTCCAAAATGTAACCAAGCAACAAAACCGAACCTAGACACGACAATGGTTGATGGTGAGGATGCAGATAATGATTCTGGCAAAACAGTGATTTGAGTGAGCAAACATGTTGTGTGTAGTTGTAGGTCCACAATTTGTCCCTAAAGGGCATTTTGGGGAAAAAAGGCAGGAAGACATGTTTTGTTTCTTCATGTCGCAATAATATTTTGCACATGCATAGGTTCCATGGGGAGCATTTTGATTGCCTAGCTGTAGTTTTTCATATGAACAATTATTCTGGATTTTTTCCAAAATTATTCTGTATTCCAAGAACAAAAAAAAAGTTGGAAGTTGACCATCAGATGGTATGGCAAAATATTAAGGAATTTCTCTGAAATTTAATAAAAAATGTTTAGCCTATAGAAGTAGCCACAAAAAATAGGGAAACTTTTTTCAATAAAAACCCAAAAAGACCGATTTGTCTAGATCGTTCTCTCATCAGGCCCTTAGGAAGCTATTTTTTCCTTAGAAGAATTTTTGAAAAAAAAAATCAGATATTATTTTTATATGTGCCGAAATTCTAGAGGAGTTTCTATCTGCCAAAAAAGCCTGTAAAGAAAATGTTCTATTTGTAAAAGACCTCCAACAAGTGTTTACAGAAGATCTGTAGTAAAAAGTATATACTAGACCTTTAGAAAATCCTGCAGAAGACGCTTAGACTATAGACGACCACCACACGGCCCTCTGATAACAGAGGAACTTCAGAAAGTCTTCCAGCTATAGAAGACCTGCATAAGGTTGTCTAACTGTAGAATACCACGAGATGGTTCTCTATTCCTCTGGAATGTATTCTGACTATAAAATGTATTTTATTTGTAGAAGATTTTCTACCGAAAAAACACCTCTGGAAGGCCTTATACTTATAGAAGACATCTAGAAGTTATACTTAGTATAGAAAAGCTTTAAAAGAATTCTTTCTAGAAAATATCTCTAGATAAAGAAGACCTCTATTTTCAGGTATTTCAGATATAAGAAAACACATATAATATAGTTTAGGTATACAGGTTCGTTAGAAGGTGTAGCAGAGCTCCAGAAGGTTTTCCACTTCTAAAATATCTCATACAGGTATTATTGGTGTAGACGAATTTTTATGGGCATTATTTTTTAAATGATCTGCTTTCTCCAGTTTTCTTCCACTTGTAAAATACGTCTAGAGAGTCTTCTATTTAAAGTATATTTATTTATAATATAGATAAGCTCCAGAATTATAGAAGACTTCATAAACATAGTTCTCCCTATACATGCGAACATATTCTTCTGTCTACAAAAGCCCTATCAAAGGTCCTATCTTACAGAAGAAATTCTTACGACATTTGGAAACAGGATCTGTAGCAGGATCTATAATGGCAACCTCCTATAAACAGATAATTTTGTTCACTCTAAGGAATACTTGATAAAGGTCTTCTGTCGTCAGTCTATGCAAGAACCGAATAAAATCTTTTGTATATATGATAACTATAATTAGACCAGATAAAGGTTTTTGTCTATAAAAGAAATGACGAAGGGTTTATATCTGTGGAAGTCCTGCAGGATGTTTTGTGTATCCAGAACAAGGCCTGAAGACTGACTTTTCTAGGACGGAAGAAAGTTTTCTATGTATGGAAGGTTTGAAGAAAGTTTTTTTTTTGTCTACAAAGGAGACCTGTTTATAGATGATCTGAAGAAGGTTTACTAAGGTCTAGTAAACTTGAAAAAAGTAGTTTGTCCTCAAAACACCTCAAGGATCTCTGTCTACAAAACAACTGAAAAAACCCCGATAAAATATTTTGGCTCTTTATAAAACAATTTTTTTATATGGGAACAATTTTCTTTATATAAAATCCTTAACATAGACTTCTTTATTTGAAATATTTTTCCTTAAAAATAGTTCCTATTTTCATAGATCACCGGCAATATCGTATCCTTAAATTGAATTAAAGGCTCTTTTTTAAGTATGCCACATGTCTCCTCAAATCACTGTTCCCGTTAATTTCATGTCGACGAATAAAAGAGTTCAAATACCCTTGAAATATGATTCAACAACAACAGCAGAAGACAAGAAACCCAAGCTAACAAAAAGGCAAAAAACAAGACCAAAAAAATAATACCACGTTCAAGTGATTTTTCTTTTTTACAGTTTTGTTTTTGGTCTTGATGGCCACGTTTACTTCGTTGTCTTATTTATTTAAAGGTTGTTCAGTTTTTTTGTTGTCGTTTTTTTTCTCTTTCGTTTTCTTACCTTTTTGAAGTTCATATATAATTTCCACTTGGGTTCTGTTGTTATTGTCACATTTATTGGTTACACGACTGACTATTTGATTTACTAAATGTCAACAACAAGAACAAAAACCAAAAGAAAAAAACAAAGCCATAATGGAATATCAAAACCCATAGACTCATACACGCACACATCAAAAACACACAAAACCACAAACCATTCATACTCCCCCCATCACCACCATCACATTTATATCTATTGACTATTTTCAAGGAAACCTTAAATCTTAGAATAAACCAAAAAGCCAACCGCCGACCCTCTCTCTCTCCAAGACCCTATAGACAACCACAACAACAATAACAGCAAAACAAACACTGAAATTGGTGCTTTTCTTATTCCTATTCTCATTCAACAATGAGTTTCGTTTTCAGTTTTCTTATGTTAATTTGTCGATAAAAAAAAACAGTGAACTACAATAACAATATGAATACAAGTCCTATTCGTGATATACCATCATCATATTCTAGTTCTATCACTCCAATCACTTTTGTCATTCTTTGTTTTTGTTGTCACCCTTTCGACAATTGTTTTACTTTCACGTTTTTTTTTTTTGGTGATTGAAAGAGAAAAGCCGTCTTACAGAGAAAGGCCTTTGTCTACAGGATTAATATATATCTATGAATGTATTATATAGTTCCATAACTTATACCTAGTTAGGATTTCTATATAATTTTGAAGGTTTGTGAAAGGTCTTTGTCTACAGATGAAATTGTTCCGTAGTAGGATTTCTATATAATTACGACGGAAAATATCTTATTCAGTACATGTTAAAAACATATGATCAGGTCTTCTTTATACGGATAGACCACGTTTAAGAATATTCTATAGAAGACCTGTAGACGATCGTATGTTTGTGGAACATGTGTGTGAGGCTGAAAACCCTATGAAATAACTAAAGGGGGACTTCTGCATGTAATAGATCTGGAGAAGGCATTTTATATAAAAGAACTGAGGAAAGTTGTTTATCATCAGAAGACTACCTGAGGGAGATCTACGTTCTTAAGGTCTTCTACCTTAAGAACGTATTCGTTCTAAAAAAGTCCTGCAGATGGTCGTATGTTTGTTGAAAAGCTGAGTACTGCCTTCAGCCTATTCTTCAACCTGAAGAATATATTTTGACTACCAAAGAACTGAAGAAGGTCCTCTTTCTATAGAAGGCTTGAATAAAGTTATTTGTTTACAGAAGAAGACCTGAAGGAGGTCCACAGTCTATTGAAGACCTGGAAAATTGATTCAGCCTAAAGAGATTCTCAAAAGTATTTCGTAAATAGGGGAAAGGTCTTCAGTCTATAGAAGATCCGAAGGAAGTCTTCCGTATATGTAACACCTAAAGGAGGTATTTTTCCTATAAAATAAATTAAGAAGATTTTCTGTCTTTAAAAGTAAAGGCCGTCTTCAGAAGATGACCTGAGGGAGGTTTACTCTCTTCTGTCTTCTGCTGTGGAATGTCTGAAGGAAGTTTTGCTACTTCAGAAAAATAACTGAATTCATTATGTCTTTCAAATGCCTGGAGAAGGTCTAATGTGTATAAAAGACCTGAAGAAGGACATGTGTCTATAGAAGACCTGAAAGAGATATTAAGTATATTGACGACCGGAAGAGGAACTTCTGCATATAGAAAGCCTGAAAATGGTCTTTTATCAATAGAAGACCTGAAACATGCATTTAGTCCGTAAAAGAACTGAAGATGGTCTTCTGTCTATGGAAGGTCTGACAAAAGTTTTTGTCTCCTTCAGAAGACCTGAGGGGGTCTAATTTCTATAGAAAACACGAAAAAGGTATTCTGTCAGTGAAAGGCCGTTCTGTGTTCAGGTCTTATGTCTATAAATGATCTGCAGAAGGTCTCCTGAAGAGCAGAAGTAGATCTTCTTCTGACATGATGAAGGATCTCTATTTCCCTCTTTCTTAAGAATTCTTTGAAGTTTTATTCGAACTTTATGAAGTTTATTGAATACCTACTAGTAGACTTTGTTCTAAAAAGGCCTCAGGAACTCCCTCATAAAAGTCTCGAGAAAGATATTGATTGTCGCGACAATGTCTTCTATCTGCAAAAGTCCTGAAAATGTCTTCCATAGAAAAAGTCCATAGAAGGCCTAGGAGTGCAATTTACTTTTGCAGGACCTAAAAGAAGACGTATATATTTTTAAGACCCTGTGAAGGACTCCTTCTATAGAATATTTGGGCAACCTTCTCCATTTACAGAAGACCTAAAAAAGATCTTAGGTTGGAGGCAATCTACCTATAGAGTCAATAGATTATATTCTGTTTTCAAAAAAGTGAAAATAGTTCTCTACCTAAAAAATACATCAAGAATTTATTGGAATAGTTCTCTACCTAAGAAAATAAATGAAGAATTTATACCGTATAAAGAAGACTTGAAGAAGTCCTGTGAAATCGATTTTTCTCCAGAGCCAACAGAAGATACAGTATAAGGGGGTTTCTCTCGTGAGACGTTTAAAGAATGGCTTCTTTATATGTGACTATACAATGATTTGGTTTTTGGAAGACCATAGTCTATATACTGCTTTATAGAGCTTATATAAGGATGTCTTTAATAGGTCTTAAATGGATGCGAAGTCTTCTATATGTACATTTATGGAATTTCAATAATTGGCAACCCTCTCGTACATCTTCTATACATGATTGATTATTCTCTTTAGTCTCTGTAGCATTCCCTTGACTCCAAATCTCCCTACTCTCTTCTCTGTAATTAGTTACCTCTCCATACATTTTCTTCTACTTAACCATAATCAGCATTGTTTTCTCCCTTTAGTTGTCTATCATTTGTTTGTGATTATGATTTACACTTCCCTCTACACACACCCCCTCTTACTATCTGGTACATAAATCGTGTTAACATCACTATCATATTACCACTACCATCACAATTCAATAAATCACTTGATTATGGACTCGATTAATTGAGTTTACGTTAAAACAAACAAAAATAGATTTTTTAACTTATTGAGATAAAAAGCAAAAGCAACAACAACAAATTATCGTGTTTGTCATTTCTTGTTTGTTTTTTTCTTTGTCCTATTTTCCCGCCTTTTTTCTTTCGTTTTTTTCTCTAGAACTTACATCACGATTTGTTCGTTAAGGTACAATAAATATCAAAAAATAAACCAAACAAACTCCTATCATTTGTAAGATATTGTTCTGAATTTTTTTTTACAAAAAAAAAAAAACTATAAATATTTTACGTTACCTTTCTTTCTCTGTCTTTTACAAAGCAACAAATTTCTCTTTATACAAAAAGTACAAGCAAAAAAAATAATTTAAAAATCCAATTGAATTTTGCTATTTTTTCCTACATTTTTTGTTCGTAGAATAACAAATTTTTGTATTTGAATATTTGGCCCAACTGCCTAGTTTTTAGTTAAAGTTTTGTAGAAATTTATGCTGTACTAGAAAGAAGATGAATGAAAATCTAAAATTCACAGAAGTTTTAAGCATGACAATAGAGAGGTACATTGTAGTGTGTACCAAATGTCACCAATTCAATTTCCAACATTTTGAATGGAAAACCTATGATTTTATTATGCATGCTGTTTTGAGTTTGTGAAGTAAGAGAAAACCATTGTTGAAAGGACTTAAATACAAAGAAATATTTGAAAAAAAAAACACATTTTTAAATTTGTATTCATAGAAATAGTAAAGAAATACTGCAACGATACATAAAGTGGCGTATGATTACTGTCAGTACGTATACGCCCAAGTATACCTAAAAGATATTTTTTTAAATAACCCCAATGGTTTACTTCTAAATTTAAATTTGGTTTCTGTATAATAATTTTATACAAAATTTATAATTTGAAAATGAAAACCCTATTTCCGAGATACGTGTTACAACCGTTATAACGTATACGACAACCTTGACCGATGTAAACTATAGAAGAATTGAAGAAAATATCCTGCCTATGGAAGGTTTGAAGAAAGCTGCCTGCAGAAGATCTACTGCCTGTGAACGGTCTGATGGAAGTTCTCTGTCTACAGAAGTAGATCTAAATAACGCTTTAAAACCTGTTGTCTATTAGGGGGAGATATACTGTCTAAAGAAGCACTAAAAGTTCAGTCTATAGAAGACCTAATGAAGGTCAATCTAAAGCAGACCCTAAAAAGGGTTTCTTTCTACAGAAATAGATCTGAAGAAGGTCTTATGTCTACAAAATACTTTGTGTCGTATTTTTATGATTACTGTCAGTACGTATACGCTTAGGTACACCCAAAATATATTTTTTATATAACTCCAATGGTTTGCTACTACATTTAAGTTTGGTTTTGTACAATAATTTTATACAAATTTATAATTTATAAATAAAAAACTATTTACGAGATACGTATGACTACCGTCATAACGTATACGACACACATAACCGATTAAAACTATAGAAGAAGTGAAGATCTCCTGTCTATGGAAGGTTTGAAGAAAGTTTTTTTTGTCTGCGGAAGAATACCTGAGGAGAGTGGTCTACTGTCTATAGAAGATCTGCCGTCTATGAATGCTTCAAAATTATCTCGAGATCTTCTTTCTAAAGATTCACCGAAAGTTTTCAGTCTATAGAATATATGAAGGCCAATCTAAAGAAGGTATTATGTCTACCTAAAGTTAAAGTAGAGCTAAAAAGGAAATTTTTCTAGGGAAGGCATGATGAGAGGGGGCCTATATTTTATTCTATCTAAATAAGTGCCAGGAGAGCTATTCAAACATTATTACGGTATTCTGTGTGAATTGAAAATATAAATATTATTAAATTTATTTCAAAGGATTATAGAAGTATGACAACCATAAAATATAACGTATGTTTACTGTCAGTTCGTATTAAATTTTTTTATATAACGCCAAATACATACAGTTACGAAATACAAAACTATTAAATTTTTATTTTTGTTTCCGTATATTATTATTGTAATTTCTGCTGAATTTGATAATACGATTCAAATTTATAAATAAAGAGCCACTTCCAACGTTGCGTATGACTACCGTCATAACGTATACGACACCGATGTCAAAATATTCCACAATACTCATCAAAATTGGTTAATTCCATTGGTCTACTTAAATTTCAATGCATATCAGCAAACATTTGATTTGATATATCTAACAGCATCAATAATATCATTTCAGACACCCTCAAAAAATATTCGAACACAAATAAATAAAATTAGCTATGAAACCTAAGTAATCCACTTTAAATGTAGACATAGCAACGGATTGATTTGTTATTGGATTTGTGAGGAAAAATAAAATGAAAATTCGGAGGAAAATCAGAAAAATAAATGTGAAATATACCCGGACAACAAGAACAACAGCAATCAAATATCAAGGATACATAGGATACACACTAAGAAATATCATCATTATCACTTCCCTACCCCCAAAACTCGACCACAATCCATGCGAAATAGCCCATGGCAATATTATGGATTTTCAAAATTTCCATTTCATTTGATTTTTGGCCACAAAATCTGATGATGCCCAATGCAGACCGGGTTTTTGGTCACAGTTGAAATGATAATTTCATTGTTGTTGTTATCACAATGTTATGCTTCATTTGTTACACAAAATCCATTGAGTTTTTATATCATACATATTTATCTTGTAAATATGTCAATAATGTGTGTGTGTGTGGATTGCAATTCCTTGGGGAAATTTGTTCTCTGCTGATTGCACAATATTAAATAGGCTACTTAAAATTTACTTTGATGCTTTCATAAGAGTTATTTATATAATATGCAATAATAAGTTATTTTGAAAATGGGGAAAATAATTAATGAAATATTAATTGACTATAAAATCGGATTTGGAAGCATGTGGCGTATAAGTTATGACAACAATTATACGCCACATACCTACCTTATGCAACACAACAAAGGGGAATTTATTTTAATGAATTCGTATGTTCCAAGAATTAAGAAGGAATGGATTAACACATGAATGTATTACGAATGGATACAAAGAAATAATCTTTCTGAGTAAAAGTAAAATACTAATTTTTGAATAGAAAAAATAATCAACTGTTTAAATGTCGACAAAGTACTTTCACAAAAAATGGTAAATAAAATTAGAAGTATTTCTTAAATGAAAATAAATTATTTCAACATTCCTTTTAAGCATCACGTTTCAACGTTCAACGACAGTAAAGAAAAAAGAATTTCTCAATAACTATTCCCTCTCCCAGGAATCCTCACTACAGCTCAAATACCATTCGTAATTTAATTTCAGCAAACATTCATAAATTCCTGAAAATATGCAAGAAAATTTCATGTCATAACTACCAAATGTGCTTGAAAAATTCAAAAGATTCAAGATTTCTCTAAAGTTGAGCGGGGTGAACGATAGTTTGTGCAAGAATTTACATTAACAGTGGTATTTTATTGAAATATCCAATGCAAATAGAAAATAGTTGGCAAATATTTTCTTCATAAATTGGAGGAAAAAAACTCTCAATCTCAAACATATGAAATACTACTGGAGAAAATCCAATTGATGGCAATGACAAATAGGCTATAGAATGCAAAAAGGAAATATTTGAATGCCAGAGTATGTGAAAATGTTAAAATCACAGCCATTAAAAAATCAATAAATTCTTCTTTCTTTCTCTGCACTCTGTTAGCTGCAAAGTATGCCATAAATTTTGATCCCCTGCCTCTCGAAAAAAGTATGCAAACATTTCATTTTTTTCTGGTGATAAATTTTTAATCGCCTCAAGTGATGCAGTGGAATATGGCAACACAGAGCAATCAAATATTTGTTCACTCGAAAACTTGCTAAGACTGCATATATTCATCGGCCGCCATAAAACTGCAGATATTTCTTGTGTCATGTTATTTTTGTGAAACATTAACCTTTAACAGAAAAAAACACTATTAAATAAAGTTTATGGTGGTTCCATTTTTTTGTGAAAACGATATTAACGGCATCAAAGCCAACGAAGTCATTCTCCACAAAAAAAAAGAAAAATAAATTTAAGTTTTAGTGTCTATCAATTGCATACCATTCGCAGGGTGTCATAAACTCCTGAAAGTATGCATCAGTTGCGACCATAAATTTGTTATTTATGTTCATTTTTTCTGTGCAACGTTGGCTACTTTGGGGACCTCTTAATGTAGTGCAAGTAATTTATTGCTGTAAATTTAATGGGTCAACTAAATAACAATGGGAATTAATGTGAAGGAATAAAGAATGGACGAAATAATACAGAATTGAAAAGAAATTGAAAGAAGTAAAAGGAGAGGCACATTTCATGCCCTTCAACAAAAGAACATGGTGGCGTATAATGTGTGTCATAAAGTATACGCAACATATTTCACACATGACCGAAATGAAATGTTGCTTCAGCATAATACATTCGAATCTTTCTTTAACGATTTTAGCAAATACTTTGCTATAGATAAAATTTATAGAACAAAAGATCTATAGATACATTTTTTATAAAATAATATCTCTATAACTTAGAACTACTTGTTCTTGAGTAGTACGAATATTACCAAACACCAAACTTATTTTTTAGAAAATATTTAATATATTTATAATATTTCAAGTGGTAGAGGAGAGAAAAAATCTGTATATAAATGACTACAACATCTATGAACATTAAAAATTAATTATTAATTATTTAAGTTCCTTAAAGCAATGGTTTTCTCAAAGTAAAGTTTTACACAATAGTAGAATGTCTTCATTTTTTTTTAGTTTTTAATATTCCTTTAACAAACAGCACCGGTTGAAAAAAAAGTTGAAATATTATTTATTACAAAATTTGTTCACTACAAATTCCTTTAATAAAAAAAATCCAGACAAGTAAACCCAGCAAACAATAACATCAACAAAAAAAAGAAACCATAACCTTACCGAATGTAAACAATGGCAAACCCCAAAAAGAAAACAAAGTAGAAAAATCTTTGGCCTGTACAATATAATACCATATATAAAGTAGAATTATTTATAAGTTTATACGTATATTATATACACCAGAATACACTTACCATGTATCCACACATACATATACACTCAACATGAAATACATATTCATATCATTGTATTACATTTTGTTATATACATACATATATACATCAATGTGATAGTAACTTAAAATCCATTGCCTATTCATAATGTAGTAAACGAATGCTTCCTAGCCAGAACCTGTGAAAGATAGATGCCCCATTGTTGTATGTAGTAGTGAGTTGTAGGCATAGACTTCCTTTATCATGGGTTCAAGTTAAACAATGGCAACATCAATGGACTAAGAGAAATTATTTGGCACAGTGGCGGAGTTTCTTTTTTACAACTTCAGAAATCTTTACAAAAATTGGAAAAACAGTTTGGCTTTATGGATAAATAGGGCTATAAAAATACCAAAAAGTTACGAATATACATTGCAATTAGGTATTGAACCCATTAACAACCCTAATTTACAAATTACAACATTTCCGTTCGATGGTATAATTATATGGGAAACAACTTTAAAACGATTTATACTCTTACAAATATCCAAAAATATGTCAACTTAAATATTGCAAGCTTTATGGCGATTTCACTTGAAAGACGGACACGACTTAATCGATCCATTACGTTGACCTAGAAGATCGTGTAACCCTTGTGCGTATACATACATAATATACCACTGGATGGCCCACAAAATCATATACTATTTGTCCTTCTTTAAAATATATTAGTTGGAGACTGCGGAACCATAGTGATAAAGCTTTTCAAAATGAATCAAAACGATTGCACGGGTGAAGTTATCCTAAACGGATCAGGTTGCAAGTTATTTTTGGGAACACATTCTCCTAATATCTTGAGGCATTTTTGCGTAATTTTCGCACTTATTTTCTTGAATTGTGAACGACGGGATGACATTTTTAGACATACAAATTTCCCATAAAACTGTCGCTCATAAGATTCTAGATAAAGGCTCCTCTTTTACCCGATTCTTTCTCAGAAAACCTTATATCTACGAAGGAATTCCGGATTTGTTTGAAATAATACCATAACTATATCTCATTATGCTAAACACCTCAATAATAAAAATTATTTGCGGGATATAGATTCGCATAGCCAATTAACTGGATTACTAAATAATTGTAATTGTTTAAGGGTGGTCCAATTTCTGGGAATATATATATATATATATTTTTTCAATTGAAAATGTTTATTAATTTTTCTCCAACATGAGATCCCAAAAAAAAATCTAACTTAAGTTCCGAAGTCTGTTAATCTTCTTCCAGTTTACATAAATAAAAGAAATACATTTTATTTGAAACCATGTGACGTATACTTAGGGACGTAACTTATACGACCTCGTGTTTAACAAATACTAAATAATTTCTAATTTTCAAGTATTCATTAGAATAGAAAAATGTCAATTCGACATGTATTTGAGAAACTACAGAAATATTTCTCAATATTTCTAACTAATGACATATCGTCAAATAATTCATGGGCTTAAAAATTAAATAACAGTGTAATTAAATTGCAATTACATCGTATAAAATTAAACTATAATTACATCTTAACTATAATTTTAATCAAATATATAATAATTTGTACCTATGTCCGCTGGTGCTCTAGATGATAAAGTTAGAAAATTAAGGCCAACAAAACAATTACAATTTTTGTAATATGTCATCTTAACAATCTACAATTTTCGAATTTTCGTCACCATTTTCCTGACCACTGTGCCACTAATATCATGTATTCTGTACACTAAGATACAAAAATCAATTCCTACTCAAAAATTTATAACAACACTCGTAACCAAATTGTGATACCCAACAGATTTCAACACACTCACATCTATCTACTCGTATAATCACACATATCATCCTGAACAATAAACTCTCTACTCATGTAGTATCTCATATATAAAAACCATTTTATGCTTGAATACCAATAAGGTAGAGTAGCTAACAATGAGAAATGATAATAAAATAAAAACAAAAAAACAGAAATACTAGAGAATGAAAAATTATACAACATAGCTACAAATACGAAAATTTGTTCATATATTTTTTTGTTATTATTATCCACATTTTCCCTGCAAACGCTTAAAAGGCCAAAAAATGGTCGTCAAAAACAACAAAAAAACAAACCCCGCAAGCAGCAACAGCATGCCATAATTATGATTGACAGCAACCAACCAAAAATAAATCCCAATCCAACAAAAAACGAATCTACCACTGTTATCACTACTAACAAACAAAATTTGCTAAGTTCACCTTTGTTAGTCCTCCTCCTCATTCGACTCTCTTTCTACTTCCACTTCCTGCGATATTCTTTTACATATTTTTTTTTTGCATTGAGGAGGATGTATAATGTACTGATATGCTCTTGATTTTGTAATAATTTTTTAGCAGTTTTTTAGAATGAAATCTGAAACAAGCTTCTCTTAGAGAAATGATTTTTTGTTGCTTAGATTATTTTTGGTTTTTTTGTTTCGTTCTTTTTTTTCTTTCGAAGCATTTGTAAGAATGTCCCACTAATAACAATTTCTTTAACAACCTCCCACCTCCCCCAATTTACTAATTCAAAATGCTACTACTTTTTATTATGACTACTACTTTTCTTACTACTATCACTACTACTGCTATTACTTCTACTATTACTTAATAAAACTTTCAAACAAATTGCCGAGAAACTTTGATTTTTATGCCAACGTCTTCTTTTTGTGGATTTTTTCTTGTTCTCCCTCCTCCTAACCTCCTCTCGTACTACAACTAAACTACAACTACTTGATGCAAAATGACCTATTTAGTGTTTGCCTCGCTGTGAGGGTTGTGGCATTTTTGATCGCTGTTTTCAGTATCCCCGACGTGAGTTGGAACGTGACTGTGGCTGCCAATTTGCCCTGCTGCACAAGGTGGCCGATGTGGAGAGCTAGCAACCAGCGATAGCCGATGGCGGTGATTCGATATCGCCATCGGAGGGCTATCGGCGTGTCGCCAGTGTCGACAGTCAAGCCATGGCCGTCAGTTCGTACAGTCCCCAGGAGCCGGAGACCGAGGATGACCGCGAAGGCGGTGTGGGAGCCACCTCCACAGCTGCCTCGGATAGGGAGGGTGAAGACAATCGTTTGTTGGAACGTGAACCACGTCATCGCAGCATGCCGACGATGAATCAGAGTAGACAAGCCAAAGCTGGTGGGGACTATCATCATCACTATCATCGTTTGCGCCAAAAGAAATTTGCCACACAGCGTAGCATCCTTAAGAATTCCCAGGATAATACGACCACACCCAATGAAGACCAGGAACTATTAGAGGCCAAAAAACAATTGATTTTACGTAAGCGTAGACTCTTTAGCCACTACCGCCAATACGAACAGTGGCGCAGACGTCAGTTCAGCTACGATCCCTGCTATATGCGGGTGCTGCCGCCACCGTCGCCCATCTGTACGATCGATTACAATACACACACAACGAATGCCAATGCATTTCGTCGTCGCCGTCAGTACCGACGTCAGTATTCATGTGCCGAACGTTCACGCGAAGATTCACGTGACAGTCGTGACTCATCGCATCATGCCAAATATCATAGTATGGCGGCGAGTGATACCATACGAACAACGAATACAAGTACTCTCAATTTAGCAACGAATCCATCGACATTGGATCGTTTCAGTGTAAGTTGGAATAGATTATTTTGTATCCGTCTACCAAAGACAAATAAAAATAAAAGCTTGCAAGCAAAGTGTCGTCTACTATTTACAATCACCACAAAAACAACAACAACTGCTGCTGTCCAAAGAAATAATAAAAAAACAATATGTATTGATGTGGTATTTGCAAAGCAACAAAAATGTAAATCAAACAAAAACAACAACAAATATTGTCTGGAAATTGTAGCACCTGTCATTGTCCTTGTGAAACAAAATTTGTAAATTGAAAATGCAAAATAGTACTTGCACAGACACTATCATTGTATCACCGAAGCACCCACAGGAATCTATATGCATATGTATCATAAATTGCAGCTATGAAATTGTCAATAAATAGCAATCACTTAGAAAAATCAATTAAAAATCATTGAAATCAAACTATAACATTAATACAGAGAGATACGATACGTATACGTTACGGTACATTACTTATAATTAACGCCAAGTGACTTTGTGTTGATCAACAACAGAGAGTCCTCTACACACAATGCAATGTATAACACACACACACACAATGTATGTTAGAGACACAGTCATTTACAAGCACACACGCACACACTCAATAGCATCTCACAACAACAACAGCAACAACAAACAGTCAGTCAATCACTACTCGGAAACACGATAGATCAATCGAATGTTAAGCACTCGTGCAATCAAGTTGGTTTGCCCATAACTTCCGCTCTCTCTCACTACAAATCTCTCTTCTTCTCACATGCAATTACCTATAGCAACAAATTGTGGTATGTCCTCCTTTGTTGTATACTCTTGCTCTCATTAACGGTTATTGAAATAAATAAGCATCTTAATTTACCTGTAATTTTATTTTTTCTATTAATTTTATATATTTTATTGTATTTATTTTTTGTTTCTCACAAAGTAACACCAATGTTGTTATTATTTTTTTTGCTTTTTTCGCACCAAATTTCATAAACAATACTTATCCTGACCGGCCTGCCGCCCTTGTCCCAAGGCTTATCACTAATCCCCCATAACATTTTCATGGCACACATTTCTCCCTTACTCTCACTCTCTCTCTCCTATGTTAACACTCAGTCTCTAGAATTTCAACCTTGGCTAATTTGTTTTATGTTACAACCTTTGTTTGTAATTTTTTTTTTTCGTTGGGTGACAGTTTAAATTTGTTTCATGTTTTTTGTTTAAATATTTGTCCAAAGTTTTGTTTTGTAACAAAACTAATTAAATGGAAATGACAAAGTTATGTAATCTTAGAGAAAAATGTTTCAAAAGTTACACAAGCAAATTAAAATGTTTTAAATAAAAAAGACTTAAGAGGGAAACTTCATAGAATACGATTCACTGAGAACGAGATTTGTGCTATAGACCTCAGTTAAGGGATGGACATTTTTTTAGAAAAAAAATCTATGAGGAGAACTTCACCTATAGAAAATTTGAGCAGAATATTTTTCAGTCAAAAAATACCCAGACGAATATAGTATTTAATATCAATAGAAAAAAATCGGACCAATGTTAATGAAGAGGTTTTTTTCCTGAAGAAAATAAATCCGAAACTCAATTAATAGAAATTGAATTCCTTTTAAGAAAAAAAACATTAAAAAACATTTTGTTGAGATTGTCATTTAAGAATTCCGACAGAAGAATCTTTTTACAATTGAAAAAAATTCCAGACCTCAGTTCAGCAATTATAAGATTTTTTTGATAGATGGCGAAAAGATTACGTACTTATTTAGCTAGCTTGTGGCAGAACATTATTATAAATAGAAAATAAAATCCTGACATCTATTTAACTGAAGATAATTTCTTCTATTGAAAAAAAAATCACAAACAAAAATCCATACATAAATTTACACGAAAAGAATGAATCCTTGAACGGAGTTCCATTTTAGAGCAGTTTTTCTTTAGAAAACCCTCACAAATAAATTACTCGGAAGTAGAGTTTCTGTAATAGGAAAACGTTCTCAGACCTCCGACTAAGGAGAAACACTTTTTTCTATTAAAAAAAATCTCAGACCTCAATTCGCCGTGGTGGATTTTTTTAGAGAAAAAATTCAGAGACTTAGCAATTCAATTCACTATGAAGGATTTTTTATAGAGAAAAAAAAATTACAGACTGAATATAATAAATAATTCTATATAAAAAATTAAAGATATCAGGTCACTTCGGAAATGGTTTTCTACAGAAAAAAATTCACACATCTCAGTTCAGTGAGGAGAGCGTTTTCCATAAAAAAACACAGAAGGACTATATAACTCCATTAGGAAGGAAGTTCTGAGGAATGTTTTTAGATAGACTTTATTTCCACCGAGGAAGAATGTATTCTATAGAAAACCTTAGTTAAATTGAGGAAATTTTTTGTATAGAAAAAAACTCAGTTTTTCTCATCACTTTTTTATAGAAAAAGTTGGAAACCTCAGTTTCATTGCGGATATTTTTTCTGCAGAAAAAAGGTCAGAGGCACCAGACTCCCTGCCGAGATTTTATGTATAGATCATGAGAAAAAAATCTGTGACCCCAGATACATTGAGACTTAAGCTTCATTAGGGCGATTTTGTGATTTTTTATTGAAAATATCTGAGAATCCAGTATCAGTGAAGAAGTTTTTTTTTCAATTAAAAATCACTGATGATCTTATTTCTATTGAAGAAAATTCATTGAGTTCTTTAAGAAGCAAATTTGGAATAATTCAAAGTTCTCAGGATTTTTATATAGAGAAAAGATTAACATCTCAGGAAGGGATTTTATTGTTATGAAGAAAAATATTAGAGAGAAGATTAAATGATTTTTTTATAGAAAAACAACTCAAAATTTTCTTCAGTATTGTAATAAAGATAATTAGAATTTTTACAAATATATTCTGCTTATTTTAATTTTCAATTATCTTTTTTTCTGTAATTCCATTGAATTGTTCGATGATTTTAAATTAATTTATTCGTTCTGTTTTATGTTGCTCTCAGTTTGTCTTTTGTTTTGTAGTGGCAAAAAAAAACGTTTACGTGTATTTGTGTAAGTTGACAGAAAAGCAGTTTCATATTCAAGACACCGTCTGGAAATAAACAAAAGAATCAACACGCACACACCGACATTCATAAACAGTCGACAATAAACATATTCACAGCTTTCAATGAATGGTGGCTTTCATTTACATGAATTTTCATTATTTTCGAATTTTATTTCAATTAATTATATCTGTTCACCAACCAAAAACAAAAAATACAACAACAATAAAACAGCAAAGAACAAGATGCCTTACATGTTCGTTTTAGCAAAAATAAAATATACAACAACAAAAAAAAACATAATTTCACCAACATTGAATTTGTAATGTCTTCAAAATAAATATGCAAATAAGCAATTGTGAAAAAAATAAAAAAAAATTGTCTGGTTAAAAAAAAATGAGGCCTTCAAAAAAGGTCATATCGAAATGAAGAAGCAATTCCATTGTTGTGTCTCCTTTAGTTTTTTGTTTTTTTTACGTTTGAGTCCTTTGTAAAAGTATAAAATGTATTAAAAATAATTCGTCGTTTTTTTCTTCGTGTTGTCCTTTTGTCTTTTTCTCTCTGTGTCTCGTTTTTTTCTCTTTCTATTATTGTTGTGGTCTCTTTACTTACAGTTTGATAGCAGCGATTGTGGAGCACTAGCCTATCAACCTCTACATTGTAGTCGTGTAAGCATTCAACCAACCAATCCGAATCAATCAAACGAACCAGCTGTCATAGATTTTATGTCGTTTTCATGTCTTGTTTTCGTTTTTTGGTTTCCCAAAATATGAATATTTTTTATTTTTATTTGTAAACAGCATTTTGTATGTAGCAATAAATGTAGTTATTTAGTTATGGTGGAGTTAAAAACAAACAGTTGCAACCATTTAGTTTTTTTTCACAAAAACACACACATCCTTCTTTACACACTTGTAATAATTGTATTTACACACCCGCACACCGTTACACACAGTTGCAACTGTTTGTGTGATTTGGTGTCTTCTGTGTAACATTAACGTATTGTTATTTCTTTTTCCCTCCCGTTGTTGTTTTTGTCTTTAATTTTTCCAGCACTTCCATGTCTTTCAGGAGGAACATTCGGCCTCCATATCAGAGCGCATAACACGTAGCCGCATCAATTCCGCCATATTTGTATCCTCCGAAGGTCGTGGATTTGATTCCATTGAATTCCTGCGTCGTCATGGATCACAGAGTGTCCTGTGCCGCAAAGCGAAAAGTGCCGAAAATATAACAGACAATGGCAGAAAGGTAAAAACAGCATGAGTGGAAGATGGCGAGGATGTGAAGAGAGGGGAATAACATTTTTTGTTTTGAAATTATTAATCCACGTTATGTTACCTTTCCCTAAACAATCCATGATCCTGAATTTTGTTTCCCCTGATTTTGGTTTCCTATTCCGCCAAGCCTTTAATAACCTTTTTATATGATATGAAAATATTTATAATATGAAAAAAATTAAATTGTAAATTGTACCGAAGTTATGATTATTAAAAATGTGCAGAAGTTTTAGGAAATCGGACACCTCGATTGCGGTCTGTGTTTGTGTGAAGGCCATAATGTAAGTTAAAAAATTAAAAATTCCAAAAAAGTGGACTAGTGTAAAAAAGAATACAATTCTCCACAAAAATAAATTTCCATTGGAGCTATTTTGCCGAACTAAAAAGAGGATTCGAATAGTAAAATAATCGAAAATTATAAATGTGGCCAAGTGGTTTGTAACGCCACGAAATATTGAACATAGAATCGCCTTTTTAATATACCAATTGTCATATCTATCTAGCTGCACCAATGGTCATAAATGTTTACATGATGAGTCTGTTCTGGCCGAAGATGGCACCTATAGTTTTTGTAATGATCGGTTTAGGTAAATCGGACCAAAAAAATGTATTTTGTCTGTTTTTCTAGTCCCTCTGGGGGCCACAATTATGATCCGAACTCTACGATATTTAACACATATGACTAAGGAAAAAGCATGGCACGTTTCATGCAACCAGACTTTTTTGTGTGAAAAAGGCAACATTTTTATTTGTGGCTGATACATTTACTTCTGGAGGACTTAGACCGATCTAATCGATTAACAATATTGTGATTTTACAATGAATTTTTTAATAAAATTGTATTTTTTAATTTTTTTATATTATCAAAAAATTTTATTAAATTTTTATAAATAACTACATTAGTATGTATATAATCCATTTTCCATTTTCATTTTCCTTTGTTTTTCAATTTCACTCATATACAGAAAAGTTTTGCCGAAAACCGACAATGGCACACCGATGACAACAACGATGCTCAAAATGATAACGGCATCGAAATGCACGATTGCTCAAGAAGTGTGGAAAATCATCCGGTAGTTGCGCTCAAAAACAATGTGGAGAAATTGCTGGCAGCGACCAGTGTGCTCAATCATTCGGCAACGGTCACCACATCAAATAAAGTGGTCGGTAGTATATCGATAGAAACACCTCCGTCGCATATACGAGAAGCCGAACAACAGCAGCAGCAACAACAACAAAAAACTGCAACAGCAGCAGCATTAACAAGTGTTATTATACCCGCACCTCCAACAGCAGCAGCACAACCACCACCTCCTCTAAGTGCAGCCAATACCCTATCATTCAATTCAGCTTCCCATGATTCAGCCGATACAGTCGAAGAATTGGTTTCAATACCCATAGATCCAATGCCAGGTCATACGGTGCAGGTGACGGTACCAGTACCGGTAACAATACCAATACCACCGGCCCCGGCACCATTGCCAGCACCACCCACAGCCATTATCGTCCACAATAACAACGGCAGCATCAGCAACAACAATTCAACAGTGGTAAGTAGGCCACGTGTCCTGGTTCGTCAACGTTCTTCAACCGCCTCGCCGGTACTCTCATCCACCCACAGTAGTCCTAAGGCATTAAAAATGAAGAGTATAACACCAAAATTAAATAATTTACCCATGGTTTCCGTGTCGGGTCCATCGCCATCCGATGAAAAGCCACCGCCCAGTGATTGTTTGTAACAAATGGTAGCCGAAACATTTATTTAAAATTCAATTCACTAGAGATGAGATGTGTAATGAAAGAAAAAACGGCATGCATGTCATGCCATGCCGTAAAATAGAAATGGGAATGGAATATCAGGGAGGTAAACAAATATTTTTTTAAAACACTTTTTTTCACAAATTAAAATATATATTGGAAGTATATATATTTTTATATGTATGTGTATTTTCATATATGTATTTAACTGTAACTAGTTTTTTTACATTTTGCACTCTTTAGATGTTAAAAACAATTATATACAATTCTTTATAATAAAAAAAACTAGAAATGTCTCTAGATTTAATGAAACTGAAACTTTTTCTAAATTTTCATATGAAACATTTTAAAAATTTGTCTCATTACAGTTTTAAGTTTGTAAACAAATTAAATATAAATAAAAATTTTACAATTAAAAATCTTAGATTTTATTTTTTAAACGTTAAATTTTGTATAATTTTTTATTTGTTTTAAACATTTTATCTAAATATTTAATAAAAAAATAATATATTTAACAATTTTTTAAATAAAATAAAAAATCAATGTTTTGCAATTAAAAATTGTTTTTTTTTTAATTTTTAAAATATTTTCCGATTTAAACATTTTATCTAAACACTAATTTAAAAATACCACACTACAATTTTTAAAATATTAACATTTTTCAATTTTATTTTTTCGAAACTTTATTTGTATTTGTATTCTTTTTTTTTTGAAATTTCAACATTTTTCCTAAATTTCTGCAACACTCAGACAATAATTTTATTTTAAATAAATCTTTGAAAACTAATAATTTATTAAACATATTAATATAATAGTATTTTTAATCAATAAATGTCAATTATTTTATTAACAAAGTAGTAAATTTTTCAAATTCTTATATTACATTCTGAAATTCATAACCTCTTCAAATATAAACAAACTTTAAACGAAAAACAATAACAACACACACTCAAGTTCAAGTTCCTTCCAATTTCTATTTTCCCAAATGAATTTTAAATAAATGTTTCGGTGTTTTGTTTCTACGAAACAAAAACCAACAACAACAGCAACAAATAAACCAACTAACAACAATCTAAATATCTTACCAACAAATAAACCAGATAAACTTAAACTAAACTAAAAGAAAATCTTGGCAAAGAAGCTTTAATTTGTTTAAAAACTAAAGAAAATCAACTTTAGCTTTAAACCTATACTAAAAAAAAGTAAAACAAAACTTATTTTTATTTAATTAAAAATAAAACTAAATATTAATAGAATAGTTCTAAGTTCTAATTAGAAAATATATAGGGAAATAAGTTTAGTTTTAAAATCTCCAAAAAAAAACCCCTAATATTTTTTTGACATTTAAAACCAAACAAAAAGAGAAAACAAGAATGGGCCAAAAACAAACCAAATTAAGAAATCTTTACAAAATCTGTTAATACGTTAAGAGCATATCACACCCTACCCCGAAAACAAATACACACACTATTTTTTAGAGCTAAGTGTAACACCCACCCACCACAGCCCACCATCCACAACCTGCAGCAGGATAGTTACTATCTACCTTTTTAGCATATGCACCACAACAAAATAAAAGGACTTGATTTATTCAAAAGTCAGCATAGCTAATTACAAATCAATTAAAACAGTATGAATAATAATATTTACAAAATAATGAGACCAAAAAACCCAAAACAAAAACAATGAAATAGGGATGTTAGTATATAAAAAAACAAGAGTATAAATTTCTAGCATAGCCACAATTGTATTTTTTAAAACATAAAATTTATGTGTAAATACAACCCAAATAAAACAAAAAGAATTTTATTATGAGAAATTTATTGATTTTATTTTCCGTTCAAATTGAAATAAAATTATTTTTCATCGGCAAATCGTCATTATCAAGAAGTATATTTTCATTTATATGAAAAAAAAAGATAATTGAAGAACTTTTCTTCTCAAAATACACTGTTGTTCGTATATATAGTATAAAATCGAAGATATTTTGAGTAAAAAATACCTTGAGTAAAACTGATTTTAAAACCAAGCCCTATATAAGCCTTTTAAATAGCTATACTTTTTTACCATCCCACTTTCTTCAATGCTTCTATCGGATTTAATTACTGAGTCAGTTATAGGACTGGAAAAAACACAAACAAAAAAAAAGGAAATCAACAGACAGACAGGTATTCTCACAGGAAATAACAGCCTGCAGGCCTACTTACACATGATTCGATTCGAGATAAACATCTGGTGTAGAGTATGTGGAGAAGACAGCGAAACGTTGGAACAATTCCTGGGCCCAGCCTTTTCAAGCTTTCGAATCCATTTTTTAGGAAATAACACTTTTCGCGAAACAGCCGACCTGAGGGGATGGCCTAAATGACTTCACAAACCAAAGAGGATTCTTAGAAAAAACCAAAACCAAATCTAAAGATGACTTCATCTAACTTTCTCCCTTTTCAAGATCACCCAACAGACCACTCACAGGCTTAAATGCATGTCCTATTATTGGACAAGAGATGGTGTGTAAACCACCCCTCTTTTCAAGATAACCTGTAAGAATGTTAGGTACGCACAGTTCCAGAAATGTCAAAAATCTTGGCAATAGGGATATTGCAGTGCCATTGCTTGTAGAATACCCAACAATAGCTTTTGTTATTGACCTATTATAATAACAAAAGCTATTGTTGGGTATTCTACTGCTGCCCATATTTTCCATGCCAAAATGATTCCGAATCTGTGTACTTGGTCTAAAGGTTGTCTCGTTTAAATTAGTCCTGTAGTTCTGTGATTACACTCACAGAAAACCCCAATCAGGTAATGAAACGCTCACTCTGCGAATGACCTACTGGAACCATTAAGAGTTATACTATTTTCAGTTTTCAGTGCTACCTTCTTTTTCCACAATGATAAGGCCTAGGAGGTCATTGACTGACCTATCCAAAACGTCGAGCGATACCAATATATTTTAACATGTAACAGGAACTGCCGATTGTGACCCCAATTATGTCTGGGTGTTTTATTGACGGAATTGTATGGCCATCGAGCTACTCAAAGATTCCATGGCATAAAGCTACAAGCGGTAGTATTTTAATTGACATACATTGCAAGTAATATGTTTGAGATATTGGAACACAAAGATTCCTTTCGATTGAACTAATCTAACTTGGCCTAATCCTAGATCCATAATAGCTACCATTTCATTGTACATGGGAGTTGTTTTGTCCCTATGGATATGTTTACATCACCAAATGAGCGTACCAATATATTTGTGTGTGGGCTTCTATTAATTAGCGTCCACGCATAGATCTTGAGATTGAATTAGCAACTTATAACAAAAACACATCAGTTATGAAATGCACAAATGTGAAGTAATTCCAAAAAATACAGAATGATGCCGAACATGTTGAAATTTGTAGCCAGCGTTCACGCGGTATATCCAAAGATGTTGCAATAATCTGAAAGAGAAAAATAGTTGAAAAATATTGGTTTTTATGTTTATGTATCAAAAAAAAATACCTTCTGGTTTGAAGTTAATTTCCAAGAGACCGCATTCTTCGAGTCGTTTTTTCGTCGTGTTGGACTGATAACGAAAATTCAGATTTATTCACAATGTGTTTGAAAACAAATTTTCTGTGGGATCTTCCTCCCATTACCATTTTAAAACCATTGAAATAAATATACTTTAAATGTGCGTCCACAGAAAAGTTAGTAACTCGCAGACTTTCCATAGTGTTTATAAAATATTTTTTTAGATATATTTTATTTTTTGTGTCTTTGGATAATAACATTTGCCGATGAAAATTAATATTTCCCTTTCATGGTACAATGGTGTAAGCTTTACCTAATATAATTATAACAAAAAAATTACAAAAACTCCAAACAAACCCCTCTACAAAAAATGAAGAAAAATCACAACAAATGCATATATTTAGCTACAAAACTTTATATTAAAAAAATATATTATATACTAAATTTTAGATAATGAAAATGTCTAATTTGTATAATACACTAAATTAAGAGGAGTTATATATAGAAGAGAACACGAAATTAATGTATAGGCATAGATATGATGATTGAGTAAAAATATTTTGGTAAAATGTAATTGGTATTGCTCATACAAAAACAGATTTATATATATACATATATAGAATGGAAATCTAATTAAGAAAATTTATTTAAAAAAATAGTAACTAGCATATAAAAATTAAATGGTTTGGTTATCGACAAGACTATGGGAATTTAGATATATTTTTTAACCGAAAATATAAAATACAACAATAATAATAATATTTATACTGAATGTATACATTTAAATATTTTAACTCAATTATATAAAAAACTAAGTGTAAATAATTATAGGATTTGTTCTCATTTAAATAATTTAAGAACATATCTGTTATGTTAAATGTTATCTATATATTATTATACTACATACAAATAATGTATATTTCAAATTGTCAAAATGTAATTATTATTATTTTTCTAGATAAAACTTAATGTGAAAACATATCTAAATTTTTATTACAAATTCAAAAAAAGATTTACAATTTAAATTAGTTAATGGCATATATTGTGTTTAAATTAAAATTATATATATATATATATATATATGTATATGTAACTATTATTTTTTGTACCAAAAAAAAAAAACAATGAGAAACAGCTACATTAACTAATAACAAAATAACAACAACTCTATAATATCAGAGTTTCAAATACACACAAATATATATTTTAAATTACAAAAATAAAACGATGGAATTGTCAATTCATGGTCCAATTAACTTAACAATAAATGTTAAACATACCTAACAAAAAAATTAAAAAAAACAACAACAAACTTTTTTCTCCCTGTATAATAAATAATTCTGTTTTTTTATTATTATTATTTTATGTTCATTGTCCTTAATGCATGTCAAACAAAAAAATGGAAAATATATACACAAACTTACTTATATATGCGTATCGTATATAAATCCTAGTTTGATTAGTTTATAACTTCAAAAGCATTGTAACTAAAACACATCAAATGAAAGTCCACTATATCGTCCCCTAACCAACCTCATCCTTCACTATCTACATGATTGTGTCGCCTTTACAAGAAGAAACAAAAAAACCTAAATAAATATTGTAAACTCATTATTCATCATTGTAAAGAAGAAGAAGAAGATAATATTGAAAACCAAAAATATACATCATCAACGAAAATATTAAAATACAAAATTTAAATTGTTGTTTTATTTAATGGGGAGAAAATAAGGTATTCCTAGATTTTCGGAAACAAATCTAACTATGACTTCTTCTAATTTTCTTCATTCTCTAGAGCGTACAACTGGCCACATACAAGCTTAAGTGTATTTCCACTATTGGTCATGGGAGGAAAATTGATTTAATGAAAAAGTTTTGAAAACATATGAAGCTGCAATAGCTTCCTGATGTGATTCAATTCATGATCTAATCGATTTTTTATATTGTCAAAAAGATGCCTCCATTACATCAGTCGCTTCTGCAAGCATAACAATGTGCTTTCTGCTTAGGTCTATTCGCATCATCCTTGCCACCCCATGGTGGATAAAACTCTCAATCCAGAAGTGACAGAATGGATCATATACCAGAGAGAGATAGTTTTTTAAATATATAAAGCATAACTTCTACAATTGCTGAGGATATACATGAATTCAGAGTGAATAAAGTTTTCAGAGTCCATCCTCATCTGAGGAGCTTTAATTGTTCTTTGGCAATTTTCTAATCATTTATAATAGCGATGATATTGGCAAGATGTTACAATCTTCAGTGTCTGCAGGAAAGCGTAAGGAAGATTTTCCAGTAACCACAGGAATTTCCCCTATATATTTTGTGAAACGATAACAAGATGTTATACTATGAATAATTAATTAAATACAAAATTTAAAAATTTTCATAACTTTTTTAATAATATTTAAATATAAAATCATTACAGTATATAGTCAATATTTTTTTCCAATTTCCATAATTTCAAATCTTTTCAAAAATCACACAATGATTACCCTGATCATAGTAACTTTTAACCAGCTTTATATCAGGCACCTCGCCTATCAACGATTCCAATTCGTTTTCTTCAAATACGTGATAGTAACGTAAAAATGTCGATTTGTCAGCCTCAACTTGTTGCACTGGACCTTTCACTTTCCACGGCACCAAAACATCTTGCTGCAAAAATTCCGTACGATTTGTATGTACCGGCAGTGCCACGGGAGCTTCTTTAGCTTTCTCCTGCAGCTGTTGTTGCGTTTGTTGCCTCTGTTGTTCTTCGGTGGCTTTTTGTTTATTAACCGATTTATTTTGCCGCAGATAAGATGATTTCTTATTATTGGCATTTTGATCTTTGGCCCAGACATATATGAGACCTCGGCCTGAGGGTCTTAAAATTCGTGCCAGTTCTTTAACAGCCATCAGACGTCTTTCCTTAGTAGCCAAATGATGTATAACCGCAATACTTATACAACCATCAACACTGTTGGATCTCACCGGAACATGAATGCAATCACAACGGAACGTTTGATAGTTGAGGGAAGAACATACCTTTAACAGGCCATTACTGCGATCACAGCCAATGTTGAGTAGATTTGGATTACAATTTAAATATTTACCATTTCCGCAACCAACATCGAGTAGTATGGACGAGGGGGGAAAACTCTTAAGGAAATCTGCAACCTGTGGCCATGGTGAATGTCTGGTTTCACTGAAATGTTCGGCAATGTGGTCGTAGACGTTATGAACATTTTTCTCTTCCAAAAGGGCGGCCTTCTCGGTTTCAATTGTTGATTCTGTTGTCTTCAATGCTTCCAATTTAGTATCACAAAGCAAGGGGAAATTACAGTTACATGGAGCTCTTCGTAGCTTTCTAAATGTTAAAGAGGTACGTTTTGAACGTCGTCGTGTCGACAAATTGCCATTAGCAGTCATTACAACATCTAAAATGCGCGGTGTAATGCCATGTGTCCAATCATAGCGCGCTTCACCAGACATAATTAACAACGAACGTCGTGGTAATACAACCGAACGTTTTTCCAAGCCCTTACGGAACTCCATAACAACATCACTCTCTAAGGACAAAGAGAGTATGGGATCCAAAAAGGCACTGTGGGTATCAACATGGGGTGGTATTCCCTGACCAGGTTCATAGGCATTTACTGTTAATTGATCCGGAACATACCATTCAAAATCATAGTTACGTTCTATACTGATTGCCTCTAGTCTTGGCCAAAATCCATCACATTCTTGAGGGATTTTATTACTTAATGGCTTGTCGGGATCAACATTGTTCCGCCCGTAGATAAATTCATAACCAAAATGCTTTACTTTACGATGTTTTAAGGCAGCATCAACTTCAATGTCCAGCATTTGTATGGCATCCAATAAACGGCGTTCCTCCTCTTCGGTGATAAAATCATTTAGTAATATTAATCCATCGGGTAAAGGTTTTAGCCAATTTGAATTTTCTGATTGTGGAAGTTCGGCAAAATATGAGAGGTATACAACAGCTTCCTTTTGTCCGATTTTCGAAATACCATTCATATTTTGTACGATATTTTGGGCATCATCTGTTGAACTGCATTCCATAAAGCAATATGATTTGTTTGGCAACATCAAGAGTCGAGATATTTGTCCATATTTCTCCACTGTTTCCAGAACCAATTCCTCTGTAAGGCCCGTGGACAGACCGGCATTGAGAATGGCCACATATTTGGAAACCCCATCGGTAACTGGTTCGATTTTGCACTCATTTTGAATAATTGCCACACATCGTTTTTGTTTTTTGTCCAACTTTTTCGATTGATAATTGGAAGACATGGTTTTTAGATTTTTAAGAACTCCCTCGGAAAATGTTCCAATGTTTTTGTTTACAATCTCAAATCAACGTGATTTGGATTGCAGGGTTGTCGCATAAAGTATGAAATATAAACAGCTGTTTTAGGGTATACAAGGCTCGATGGTCTGACAGGATTTGACTTTCAAAATAGAGTTGGGCAATAGTTCCTTTATTCTATTCAGTTCCTTTCCTCTTTATAGTTCCTTTGCTTTTTTATAATTCTTAGCTCTAAATAGTTCCTTTGCTCCATATAGTTCCGACCCCTACATAGTTCCTCTGAATCTCTCTCTTTCATCGTTATTTTTGTTTCTTTTTTCGCTCACATAGTTCCGTGTTGTTAATAGATGATCGAAAATTGTGCAAAAATTAAAGCAAAAAATGAAATGAAACTACGGAATTCAACTGAACGAGACCGAAAAGGAACGAGATCAGAATAATGAACTATATTAATTAAAGAGTTGGAGCTAGTTCCGATCGTTCCTTTCTCGGAATAGTTCCAATGAACTCTATTTCACAAGTAAACAAAAACCAATAGAACACAGGCACCAACAAAAAGAAAACAATCGTATAGATAAAAAAATAGTAATTTGCAATGTCAAATAATCAAAAATTACCCAGTCAAAATACAGATTTAACTGTAAAAGTTCGAAAATCTTCCGAAAAGCTATCCGAGAATATACACATTGTCGCCAATGATCCTTCATTGGCATTTTATCGTATCCAAGAACATGTTCGCAAAGTTCTACAACCCATTCTTGATAAAAGAATTGAAGTTATTGAGCTACAAAAGGATCTACAAGGACATTGTTTCGATATGGAATATGCTGTACGTTCTATGAAGGACATTGAAGCATCGGGTGCAATATTTTCCAATATACAGGATATGGTTAAAAATTCAATATTTCTAAAGCAGCAATTGAAATATGAAGAAATCAAAGGCAAGGCGGAAAAGTTAGCACATCCCTGCCAAACTAACAGGCAACAATGTTGCCTTTGTGAGCTTTGCTTGGTTGACTGTTGTGTGCTTAGCATGGAGTCGTGTTACGTCTGGTGGCGTGACCATGGGAAGTGTAGTGTCAGCGTATTGTCAGCAATTTTGATTTGTTTAGTTTAAGTAGAATAAGTTTTTGATTTGAATAAAGAAGTTAGTTCATTCTAACTCACCAAAAGGCACACAAGTCTTTTTATTAACTGGCGCCCAACCGGGTTTATTTAAAGGATTTACTTTGAAAAAAGTAATCTCTGACCCAACCCAAACACAAAAACAGGAACGAAAACTACCCAAGTCGTCCAACTCGCACAAAAGGAATAAGCTCAGCACAAAAACAAGAACAAAAACTACCCAAGTCGTCCAACTCGCACAAAAGGAATAAGGTCTACACAAAAACCAGAACGAAAACTACCCAACGGAGGATCTATTTTGTATGAAGTCGTCCAACTAACGCAAAAGGGATAAGCTCTACACTCTAGAAAAGACGCCCTAAGAAGCTCTAAGGATCCACTAACATATTATAATATAAAACAAAGTCATGTAAGTGTATTACTCATTGAATTTAAAAAAATTTTTGTCGAAAAAATTGTGTGTCCAAAAACAGGTGAAAATATCAAGAGATTTTTTTTTTACTTCGTATAGTGCGTATTTAAAATATTTCAATTTCTGTGAAGTGATTAAGATTGTGTTATACCAACTTTTCTATAAAAAAAGATATTATGAACGCGGACGAAATTTCAAAATTGATAGAATCCGCTGTACGTGCAGCGATTCAGACACATAAATCAGAAGTCGACAAAAAAGTCGACGATCTATCAAGAAAATTGTCGTCCATTTCCATAGGAGAAACACTTCCATTTCGTTGTTGTTGGTTTGTTTCTTTGTAAATTCTTGCACAACTATTAAACTTTTTTCCAACTGCCTCTCCCTTCTACCACTTTGACATGACAAATGACTTCTTTTTTGCTTTTCTTTTAGGCAGTTTGTTTTATTTTTTATTTGTATTTTTTGTTTAATTTTTAATTAGTTGGAGATTTTTCTTTGTTTAATTTTATCCGTGTTTGTTAGCTGAAATATGTTTATTTTATTTCCGCCGAGACTAAAATGAGGAAATTATTAATCCTTTCAACATATAATTCCTGTAAGTACTCCTTTCTCGGTTCACTCTGTCAATGGACAAACACCTATTAAACAAAAAATGTTTTGTAAATTTATTCGGCATGAACTCTACATTTTTCATTTTGCCAACTTTAACAACATTTGACGCTATTGTGGGCTTAGACCTATTAAAACAAATCAATGCAAACATTGACCTAAATAAAGGAGTCATCCGACATAATTCTGGCTCTGAACTTATTGAATTTTTTGAATGTAAAGATGTTAATTTTATAGAAATTGATAAGATTGATGTGCCTTTCGCAGTTAAGGCGGATTTTCAGAAAATGTTAAAAAAACGAATGAAGGTTTTTGCTGATCCTAAAGAAGCACTACCTTACAACACAAATATCGTTGCTACTATTAACATGGAGAACGAAGAACCAATTTACTCTAAACTATATCCATACCCAATGGGGGTATCTGAATTTGTAAACTCAGAAATAAAAAAGTTGTTTTTTCAGAAACCAAAGAGAATCATGTAAAACATATCGACTGTGTTCTTAGGAAACTGCTCGATGCAAACATGAGAGTCTCTATTGAAAAGTCAAATTTTTTTAAATCCGAAGTTGAATACCTTGGCTTTGTCGTATCAAAGAGAATCATGTAAAACATATCGACTGTGTTCTTAGGAAACTGCTCGATGCAAACATGAGAGTCTCTATTGAAAAGTCAAATTTTTTTAAATCCGAAGTTGAATACCTTGGCTTTGTCGTATCAAAGAGAATCATGTAAAACATATCGACTGTGTTCTTAGGAAACTGCTCGATGCAAACATGAGAGTCTCTATTGAAAAGTCAAATTTTTTTTAAATCCGAAGTTGAATACCTTGGCTTTGTCGTATCAAAAGAAGGTATAAAAACGGCACCATCAAAGATAAGTGCCATACAAAATTTCCCAGAACCAACGACGTTGTTCGCTTTGAGATCATTTCTTGGGCTAGCGAACTATTACCGATGTTTTATAAGGGACTTTGCCAAAATTGCAAAACCTTTAACCGATAATTTAAAAGGAGAAAACGGAAAAATTCCTGCAACCAAATCCAAAAAGGTTATCATCAATCTTAATGCCTCCCAACTGGATGCATTTTACAAATTAAAAAATATTCTATGTTCAGAAGACGTCTTGTTGATGTACCCTGACTATAAAAAAGCATTCGACCTTACTACTGATGCATCAGGGCATGGTCTAGGTGCTGTTCTATCCCAAGAGGGAAGACCAATCACTATGATTTCTAGAGCGTTATCGGATAAGGAGTTGAATCTCGCCACAAACGAAAGGGAACTTCTAGGAATAGTCTGGGCTCTAAAAACTCTAAGGCATTACCTTTATGGTGTGAAGACTCTTAACATCTTCACTGACCACCAACCGTTAACATATTCAGTTTCGGACCGTAATCCTAATGCACAAATTAAGCGCTGGAAAGCTTTTATAGATGAACATAATGCAAACTTATATTATAAACCAGGAAAAGAAAATCAAGTTGCAGATGCGCTATCAAGGCAAGTCGTCTATGCATTAGAGAACGAAAATTCGTCAGACATGGCAACAGTTCATAGTGAGGAGTCATACACCTACACTATGGAAAGCTCAGACAAACCGGTCAATTGTTTCCGCAACCAAATCATTCTGGAAGAGGCAGAATTTCCCGCCACTCGAAATTTTATACTTTTCGGAAACAAAACGAGACATATCATAGAATTCGGGGATAAAAACGAAATACTGGCTAAACTTGTTGATGCAGTCAATACTGAAGTAGTAAATGCCATTCATTGCGACCTACCTGTGTTGGCTCACATTCAACATGATTTGATTAAAATGTTTCCTTCAACAAAGTTCAGATTTTGTAGTAAATTTGTCGCTGACATCTTCAATCAATGCGATCAGAGAGAAATTGTTGTAAGTGAACACAATAGAGCTCATCGGGCAGCTCAAGAGAACGTAAAACAAATCCTTTCGGAATACTATTTCCCCAAAATGGTAAAAATAGCGAATGAGGTTGTTGCAAACTGCAAAACCTGTTCAAAAGCTAAATACAATGACACCCAGAGAAACATGTTATAGGAGAGACAATAGTTCCTTCATATGCCGGTGAAATTCTACATATTGACATTTATTCAACTGATAAAAAACATTTCTTAACTTGCGTGGATAAATTCTCAAAATTCGCAGTGGTACAGCCAATAGCCACCAGAACAATTCTGGACATAAGAGAACCGATTCTCCAATTAATGAATATTTTTCCAAACACCAAAATTGTCTATTGTGACAATGAGAGGTCTTTCAACTCCGAGACTATCAGATCAATTCTGAAAAACAGGTTTAATGTCGAAATTGTCAATTCACCTCCTCTACACAGCACATCAAACGGGCAGGTAGAGAGATTTCACAGCACTCTTGCCGAAATCGCAAGATGCCTAAAAATAGAAAGGAAGATCGATGACACTGTCGAACTCATCTTACAATCGACCATAGAATATAACCGGACAATTCATTCTGTCACGAATGAGAGACCTATTGATACGATACATTCTACACCTTCTGAAGTAAGAGAAAAGATTAAAGAGCGAATCTGTAACGCGCAAAACAGGCAGTTACAATACTTCAACAAAAGTCGTTATGACAAAGTTTATAACGTGGGAGACAAAGTCTTTGTTAAGAATAATCGTAGACTTGGAAATAAAATGACCCCACTTTATGAAGAAGCTACTGTTGAAGCAGACATGGGGACAACTGTCCTAATAAAGGGGAGGGTGGTCCATAAGGACAACCTAAGATAATCCTTTCAATAAGATGTCTAAATGTTTCTTCGTCTACCTTTTATTTTTCTTTACGCAGGCTAACACTACAATTGCTTCTTATGATAAACCTCACATTTGCAAAGATTATTGATTATTCGCATTCCGATTATATCCCAATTTTGGACGGGAACGCGATTATATGGAACAAATATGGGTACTTAAGACATACGACAAACCTTACAACGTATTCCGAGATATTAGACGATACAAAAAACGCAATACAGATCTTCCCTCAGACGCATGTTAAAAAGATATTGGAGGCCGATGTATTGCATATTGATACTCTTTTAACAACACTCACCGTACATCATCGGCATGCGAGAAGCATCAATCTTATAGGCACAGCACTGAAGGTTATTGCCGGTACACCAGATGCCGATGACTGGGAGGATGTCAAATTTGTCGAGAAACAACTCGTAGATTCCAACAACAGACAAATAGAAATAAATACGAAAATACAGATCCAAATAGAAAAGTTGACCAATGCAGTAAACACAATCTTAAATACCGAACGAAAGGAACAAATTGATACTGTTAAACTTTTTGAAATTTTAATGGCTAGAAACAGAATGCTGCTTATGGAATTACAAAATATAATTTTATCTGTAACTTTGGCTAAAATCAATATTATAAATCCCACAGTTTTGGACCAGGATGATTTAAAATTTTTTATAAAAAATCAGATCAATGAGCAATACACAGATTTTACCATATCAGAACTAATGTATTTGTCTAAAGTAAAAGTAATATCAAATGAATTTTGTTTGCATTTTATCATTAGATATCCCATTCCAATACGAACATGTCAGAAAATTTCTTTATTCCCAGTTCCCCACTTCAATAAAATTATTCAATTCGCTGACACCAACACTGTGGTAGACTGTGAAGGAAAGACTTATTCAGCAACAGATTGCAAGCACGCAATATCTTCAACCTATTGTCAACTGATGCCAGAGTCAACCTGCGCTCAACAACTCATATCGGGTAAATCAGCACACTGTAATACGCAAAGCAATAATCTTGAAAAAGTGGCAGAAATCGATGATGGAATTGTCATTGTGAATGACGCTATTGCAGAAGTGAAAGAAGCAACCGAAAATGTAAGAAACATAAACGGCACATTCCTAATAACTTTTGAAAAAAATGTGACTGTCAATGGTACGCTGT